CATTTCCTGTGTCGAGAAAAAAAAAATGCATTTAAAAAAAGTTGGCAGAAAATGCCCATAAGGAAGTTTTGTTTTCAAAAATCATAACGCGTCCCCTTTCTAGGGGCCATTTAGTGTCAAACACTAGTATTAACTCACCTGTCCTGGTACCAAACGCAAGTTTGTTCATAAAAGACCTTCTCCGTTTTAATAAATCAAGATGCATACTTTTAGTTTAGGGTTCATAACGAAACAAAACCGAGGATCCTGCTTTCCTTTGTAAAGAGGAACAAAGACAAAGTTCATTCTAATCTGACAAAACCCAATAGCAAGAATCCCTCACATGTGACCAGGGTGGACTTTAAAGCAGGAAGTAACTCTGTTTATTCCGATACTTTAAGTGGAAAAAAAAAAAACTGCAGCCAATGAGAACATGGTAAAACAACTTTATTCAAAGAAAAATACAGAGCATTAATAAATGCGTTAAAACTCAGGTTCTGAAGGAAGTTCAGTCAGCTCATCAATAGTTTGAAGAAAAGCGGTCAGCTCCGTGAGGTCAGCTGAAAACAGGGACAGTCTGGTTAATGATACTCCAACATGTGCTCCAGACTCAAACGGCTATAATTAATTTAAACGCAAGCATGCATTATAATAATGTCACCCTATTTTTAAATCGAGTCCAAAATTACACATCTGAGCCCAACAGTTACCTTACCAAGTCACCATCTGAGCAGACTAGAAATACATTTTATAAGATTTTCATTCTGGTAACATTTGAGTTAACTCTGGTACCATAAATGCCGACTATGACCAAGAGCTTTAAAACTGTTATATAGCTGGACATTCTGCATAATTGTCGTCATTTAAATGTTTGGTAAATTAGCCAGAGTTTTTGCAACTGTGCATTTTCCTCCCGATTTGAAGAAAACTCAGTCAGTGACCTGCTTGTTATTAATGAGCTCAATGCAGAACACGTAGAGTCCAGGCATGATTAGTCATGCATGCAATATAAGCCACCATGTTTTAACAAGATGGTGCAAGTTTTCCCCACCATCTGTAAAAGGAAAAACTATTTCCTGCCCAAGCGTGACCTTTCATCTAGCCTGATCATCAAGTGACTTTCTATATTTACACCACCTACTGCACCACATGACCAGCTAAGCCTTCAAAAAAGGCTTAAAACCAATTTTAAAAAAGCTGTAAGGATTTATACAGCATCTGTTATTGAGGATGCGCCAATAACACCATTAGCCATTTTAAAACGGTTTTACTTAATTTTTCCATAAGATTCAAATTTTTATGTGAAATGTTGTACCGTTTCACACTTTGTAAATTTTGTTTTCAGGTGCTGTGACAAAACTGGCTTAAGAAATTTCAATATCAAACTGGAAATAGTAATCCAAGGTTAAACATTTTAATTAGAGGAGTTTTCAAACAGTCAATGTCTCTAAAGCATCTGAAATGCAAGTTTATGAGTCAGACATTTTGACCACTGATCTGAAATGTGTCAATAGTGATCCACTTCAGAAATCTACCACCAATGAGTTCATACCTGGACACTCTGGCATTTCTACAGGGGAAAGGTATTGGAGCTCTTCTATCTTTTCCTCATCCAGATCAGGGCATCTGTGTGGAAAGCAAGCCAACCCAGACAGAGCCATGCAGCCAAGAGGAATCAGATCTTCAGGTACACTGTACCTCTGAAACTCTGAAATAAAGCAATTCAATAAAACATTGCTGTCAAGTGCTTCAGCTAAAACGATGAACTCTAGAATGAAGGACCATTTGCCTGCAAGACTTAAGTAATTCCTAATTATTTGGCAGTATTAAGTGGAGATATTGATTGGTTTACCTAATGGGTCATAAGGGATAAACTGCTCAACTTCTGGATATTCCTCCACTTTGGTCTGAGTAGCCGGCATCGCTTTTGTTTCCTAGTGGGAACAAAAGGAGCTCGTAAACACTGATTTAAAGAAAAGAAAAACTGAAGTTAGACCTCCAACCTGTGGTTTAGCGAGTTTCTTCTCCTGCGTTTTGACAGCTGGTGTTGAAATCCTGTTGCCCACCACACCAAAAGCCTTGCGGCCAGATGAGAGCGGTGTGACCATCGTTTTGGCCAACATAGGAGACTTTAGTTTCTCTGGTTGTGGAAACAAAAGTTAGTGTATTCTTGCAAACCAAGGGTTGATGGATGGAGAAAAAGAAAAAAAAAGTTGAATACCTGGAACAGATTTAAGTCGCCGGCGCAAATTCTGCGAGGATCCATGAAGTTGTGCATTTTCCTGCTCTGCAAAGATTATACTCTCCATTGTATCTGGAAACAGTTATGCATTAGTTTCTGCAGAAAATTACAAGAAGGTTATTTTTAAGATTAAAAAGGTCAAGGATTGTCAGACCGCCAATACGCTCCTCCCGCAAGAACAGCTCCAAGTTAATGCAGCAAGGTGTAAAGCTGAGCTTAAGGTCACAGAAAAGGCTCCCCCACCCCCAAATAGTAATTTTTACTTTGGGGATGGGGGGGAATATGCAATAGGGCTCTTGGAAACAATTTTTACCCCAATGAAAACATCCTGGGGCCAAACATTTAATCTGTTTAATTCCACAAAACAAAATGGAAGTATTAGTCCAGCTAGTCAAGTTTATTTTTAGAGCACATTTCAGCAGCAAGGCAGTTCAAATTACTTTAACAAAATTAGACACCAGTCAACATCATCTTTTAATGAGTCCCTTAAAAAAAAAAAGTTGATTGAAGTTTCATCCATTATGGTTCACAAGCAACTAAACGTATTCAACCACTTGAACCCATGGAGTTCAATATGAAACTAGTTCCATTTGGTGGAAACTTATCCTTACCAGTTACAAATTGAAACAACCATTTAATGTCTTACTTTTTAGTCCAGAAAATAGGACATTTCTCTTAAACCAAGATACTTGACTGCAAATCTTTGACACTTTAAAACATTCAGAACTCAGACTTAAAAAATACCATAGATGGCAAATTAACTTTTTACTTGTAAAGTTCTGTCAACACACCCAAATCAAATTCCCTCATCAGCAGTCACTCAGCTCTGCAATAGCCTGGTAAACAGCCAGTCATTGGGTATGTTGAAAAAGGGACGTTTCCAAAAGTCGCAGAATAGTAGCTTTTAAAGACTGATGAAGTTTCTGGGAGGTCAAAAAGTGTTACCTAGGTCCTGCCAACATGTATTGGTACTTTTGGTAGTGTAGTTTTTCTACAGGTTTTCCCATTAGTATGCTTGAATATAGCACTCAGACAGCTTCTTCGGTGTTTAAGGGTAGTTATGCAATATTTAAAGTTTTCTGATAAAGTAGATTAATTATAAATTGCCATGATGCACCTGAATATAGAATTACCTCACTGAAAGCGCAAAAGTTGATAAGGGCCGCCTTATTTATCCAAATACACATGTTTACATCGATTACGTGCATCACACTTATAATTCCAGTCTAAATATTTCAGTTAAAATGTCTGTTGATTTATCCGCTGACCAACACCAAGATGACCGTTAGCTTGTGTTAGCTCACATTACTTATAACTAAACGGACAGGTTACAAGCTTGAAGCAATTCAAAAGAACACTATGCAGAAAGTAATAAGAACAACGAAACGTTTCACCCACCTTTCTGACAGAGTTTCAATAAACGCTGTTCGTGTTTCCTTCTTTTTCGTTAGTCCTCTCCTCGTTGCCAGCTTGTTGTGGTACAAAACTGTAGTGTCGTTTCCAACAGCCGCCGCTTCATTTAAATACGATGCGTTCTTCCTATTGGTCGATCTCAGACACGTGACTAAAAAGGCGTTTCTATGGTTTCTATGATCAGTTAGCTCACCTAGCTAAAACAGAATGGCAAGATATTTGATTTGTAGTTTGTGATTTGTGGCAACTAGTGTTAGTCCCAGTTACGCTGAACAGGAGTACGATATGTGCATCTATGAACATGTTCTTCATGTTCTGTGGAATCATACAGAATTATATTTTAACAGCTTTCTCGAAATAGGACTACTTGCTGTTGCTAATTTCCGTTTGAAACGTTTTTTTTTCAATTAACTTTATTGCAAATAGACAAATCTTACAATTGTACAGAATTCTTATGCAACTATTTTGAGTGACTAGCAGCAGTCATAAAATGGGAAAAAGAGAGAGAGGAAAGTAGTGCAAAAGCCATATAACATAATAAGTGAATAATAGTATTAGAACAAATATAAAGCATATTTTAATAAAATAGGTCTCTTAATTTACCATGTGAGTATGTAAGATAATAAGATAATAAGATAATAATACATTATTGATTCCCTGAGGGGTGAAAATTTTGTTTGTCCCAGCACAGTACACAATAAAAATTAAAATAAATAAATAAGAATAAACATAAAACAATAATAGATATGTATACGATATATGTTCTATTCTATACATAAGATACATATGTATAAAATAATAGACATGTCAAAAATTGAATGGGATATACTATTGTAGAGAAAAGCAGGATTCTTTGTCCAAACTTTTTCAAAGAGCTGAGGAAAAGCGAAATTCTTTTGGAAAATACGTCTAGAAGCAATTTCTAAAAATTACATTTGCGTAACTTGCACTTTTAATATTTGGCAATAAGGATCAGGTTATTACTCGTGATTTCCAATTTTGTATCCACAATGTTATGTTTGTATATTTATATTATGACTCAACATCTAATTATGAAGATCCTCCCAAAATGAAAAGAATAACGTTGCATTGTTTCTACATCAGATTTTCCGTTTGAACGTTCACTGCCCTTCTTTACCATCAGCCGCAACCATCATGGCATCTTGCGTGGGGGGCGTCGACGGTGGAGGGGAGCATTCAGTGGCTTTCGCTCTTTAATTCCGTTTTCTAAAAAATATTCATCCAAAAAACAAATTCATAATTCTTAAAAACTATATAAATAACGATAGTATTCTCTGTATTTTTATTTTACGTCGAGCGTAAACCGGCTGAAATAAATGGTACGTTCCGAGCAGGCCAGCTTTGAGTATATCGTAAACGGCGCAGCTTCCTTTGCTAACCTCAGAGCGGCGGAGGGTTTGTTCTCCAGCTAACAGCACTCACCATGGCGTCCACTGAGATAGCAAGGCAAGCTGTAAGTTTCCCGTTTTACACAGAGATAATCTCACTATGCACGTGTTACACATCCGAGTCGCAAGAAAACTATATATTGATGTAGCTTTTTGTTACAGAGGGGGAGAATTATGAGAATCAGTAGAAGGGTTATCCTGCTAACATCCGTTTTCGTGCTCCATTCCATCAAAAAACCTATAGTAGCAAGCTAAAGACGGTTTCAGTAATAATTATACAGATTTTAAAAATTAGAATGTGCACTAAAAACGATTTGGATAAGCAATTTTCAGTAAAGACCCGACGTCCATCTGTTGAAATGTTTCTGTTTGACCCATTTTGATTTCACGCGAGGCTACCTTTAGCATAATTATTCCGAAACAAAATGTCGACTTGTAAAATACTGTCAAAAAATGTAACGTAGTCGGTTCTGCACCGTTAAAAACCCACATAGAACCGTAGGTAGGCCATTCATTCTCAACGCCCCCATTTAAGCACAGCTTCGGTTCTCATTTCCGTTATGTTCAAGTCCCGTTAACTTTCACACGGCGGCGTCTTTAACTAGTATTTAAAAAAAGAGAAAAAAGCGTGCTACGTATAGTATAAAAAGCTTGTATTTTCAAAATGTTCACTTGTTTCTTTTTTTTTTTTCGTGGAAAAGGAAGCCACTTAACCCAGAGGGAGTGCTTAGAATAGCAGAGCCTTGTGCAGTTTGATTTCCCTTTGTGGCCCAAATGAATGAAACCGGCTGTGTGCTACTTGGCTGTGAGTGTCATGAAAAGCAAGGATGATGATTTCAGGAATGCTGCAGAAATATAGAGGCTATTTGTCTCGTTACCATCAGTTTCCCAAACAGTCTCCCAGCTGTTTAAACCCAGCTCAAGTCATCCAAACAATCCGCAACTGTTCAGTACCATCAGATTGGACAGTTATTTTAAATTTACCCTGAGAGTGTGTTTTCTTTCAAAGCCTTTGCCAAATTGGACAACAGCACTGTGTTATGTTAAGCCACATAATGGCCGGTTTGTCTGAGGTTTAGCTGCTGGAGAGATTTAGCTTTTTTGGCATCTTTTGCAAATTCTTTGCTTCCCAACAGCTCATAACATAAACATAGCCTGCAGGAAAAAACGAATCGGAACAATCAAATACTCACTGACAACCACACACAGTTTAAAAAGTTGCATTTTGAACATTATTTTTATCATATCTTGTACGTTTTGTCATGTTGCAGCCACAAAAATGAATGTTGGGATTTTATGTGATAGGTCAGGCCAGAGTAAAACAAAATGATAAAGCTGAAGGAAAAGGATACTTGGTGTTACAAATATAAATCTGAAAGGTGTGGCATGTGTGTGTTCCGACGCTCTGAATTAATGCAATCTCAGCTGCTTTTGGGTTATGCCAAATTTGGAGGCTGAGTATTTTTCCCTGTTGTCAATAGAGAGAATATTTGAACATTTCAAGTCTTACCACATATTTTACACTTGATTTAAGACAAAAAAAAGAACAAACTTTCAGGTTGACACTACCGTGTTTTAACCTACAAGACAGGGTATCCAAACTGAGGCGTGCGGGCCTTTAGTGGCCCTTGGCGTGATTTTGTGCAGCACCGTTCTAATTGTAATTGAGGTAAAATTACTACGAACATAATTTTTCTGCAATAGAAAACGTTAAGTTTTTTTTTTTTTTTTTTTTTTTTTCAACTAAACATTAAAAAAAGGCAAAAAAAAGTTTTTTTTTTTAATATTTTTTTTTTTTTTTTTTTTTTTTTTTTT